AGCTTGAGCTTGCTGTGCTCCCTGATAAAGCAGGCTTTTGGGGGCCATAGGGGATGGGGGGGCTCTCACCAAAGTCAGCCAGCTTGAGCTCCCCACGCTCATTGATGAGCAGATTCTGGGGCTTGAGGTCACGGTGCAGCACCTTCAAGCGGTGGCAGTAGGCCAGGCCCCGCAGCAGCTGGAACAGGAACAGCTGTGCCCAGACAGGCAAGCATCAGGACTGTGGGGGAGCATCCTTCCCCCTCTTCTTGCTGCTCCCACCAAGCTACAGCTGTGCTCAGGCTTTCCAGAGTGGGTGCACTCCAGTACTTGGGAATGCCTCAGGAGCTCCACTCCCAAGCCTCCACCAAGGCTTGCCCCCCTCCATTCACTCCCTCCCCCCCAAAGCCTTAGGGACCCCCTCAGAGCTGCCCATTTCCCCCCCATACCTTGACATTATGCATGTTGATGATGTTGCCACAGTCATCCAGGTACTGCTTCAGGTCCTTGTCCTGGGGTGGGGGGAAGGAAGTCATCTGCTGGGGGCAGGGCCAAGCCTAGGGTCATGTGTTTTTATTTATTTATTTTTTTGGGGGGGGGGTGGGGAAGGCAGGGAAGAACTTGTGGGTCCCAGGGTCTAAGGCATCCCATGGCAGATTGAGAAGGGGGAGGGAAGGGGGGTCTTTGTAGTTTGTGGGGGCCCCAGCAGCCATGGATGCACACTGGCCTGAGAATTGTCGGGGCAGCTATAGGGATCCCAGAGGTTTCTTGGGGAGGTCTGAAGGTCACAGATGGGGCTAGGGATTCCAGGAGTAGATGAAGGGTTTCTGGGGGTCCCAGGGGGTTGGGAGGGATCTCACCAGGTACTCAAAGACAAGGGTGAGGGCGGTGTCAGTGTGGATGATGTCATGCAGCGTCACAATGTTGGCATGTTTCAAGTCCTTCAGCAGGGACACTGCACAGGAGGATGGGAAGAATCACTGGAGAGGCTCCCTCCACTGCCAGCCCACTTCCCCAAGGCCCAAACCTAGTCCCCACCTACTGTGCCCCTCCCATACCCCCAGAGCCCTCTCCAAACCTGGGACCCCCACCTCTCAGAGCCCCCCCCAAAAATCCCTGGGGCATACCAAAGGTTGCCCACCCCACCTCCACAGGGGCCTGGCCCCCCAGGAAGCCCCCCCCACCCTTGGGACCCTCACAGAAATACCCCCTCCACCTCTGGTACCCTCAAGGGCACCCCACCTCCCCAGGACACAAGATGCCCCCACTCTGCCTGTGACTCGCCCATAAACCCCTAGAACCTTCCCTCCACCCCTGGGCCCCCACCTGCCCAAGGCCCTGGGAACAGCCCCACCCCTCAGGAACCTTCCCCCTTCTGCCCTTAAGAACTCTACCAATCCCCCATTTCCCCAGTGGACCCCCTATACCCTCGCGGATGGCAGTGCATGGTGCCCCTTCCTCGTGCTCCAGCCGAATCTCCTTCAGTGCCACCAGGTTGTCAGTCAGTTTGCTGCGGCCCTTGTACACTGTGGCATATGTGCCCTGGGGTGAGAAAAAGGAGGGTGGGGTCAGGTGCAGGGAACCCCCCAACATACACAGGTTGTGGGGAAGGCAATGTCACACCTATCCCCCCTGCTAGCTGGGTGTCACCCCAAGGCATATCCCACCCCCCAATCTGAAGTCCTGTTCCCCCATCCTGGGTCATGCTCCTCAATCTGGGGTCCTCATGGGGTTACGCTCATCTCCCCCACAACCTAGGGTTGTGCCCCCATCTGGGGCGATGCCCCTCCTGCAGTTGGGGTCAGCACAGGCTCATGCCCCCCTAACCTGGGGTCACTCTTCAGTCATGCTCTCCACCCAGTGCCCCTCCATGCTCTCACCTCTCCCAGCTTGTCCAGTTTCACGTAGGTCTCCAGTTTCCCGAACCCAATCTCTGACTGAGGGAGGGAGAGACAGTGACACTGTGAGGGGAAGGGGGCAGGCCATGGCCCCTGGGACTGTTTCAATGGCCAATGGGGGGCTCTGGGGGAGGGCCAGGGCAGTAGCAGAGATCCCCTGCTACTGGGATGTGGGGAGTAGGAGATATCTGATGCACTGAGGGGGTTTCCTGGGAAAGGGAGGTGAGGGAAGGGGATCTGAGAGGGTTCTTGAAGGGGGTTGCCCACAGGAGGTTCCCAATTAGGGGGCTGGTGGGGTCCCACAGAAAGGAGCCCCATGAGGGGTGAGGGGAGTCTGCAGGGCAGCCCTGTGGGAGGGTCCAAGGAGGGTCAGGGGGAGGGGTTACCAGGGAGACGCGGCGCAAGCGCCGGCTGAGTGGCTTGTCAAAGAGGGGACTGTTGAGTGACAGCTTCTCCAGGTAGCCCTCAGGCAGGCGAATGTCAGCCGGCAGTGACAGCCGCTTGTTGATGTCCTGGGGCAGGACAAAGGGAACTGGAGATGGTTCTCGAGCCCCCACTAACACCCCAGTGCCCGGGACCCCCTCCTATCCCAACCCCATCCTACACCCCTACCCCTAACCTCCCGTTTCCCCTCTCCTATCCCCAACCCTCTCCAGCCCCTCAGTGCCCCCATCCTACCCCCATGCTGCTCCCCAACCTCCCCTATGCCCCCCCACTACCCCAACTTTCACCTGGCACCCCAATGCCCCATTCTGCCCACAAACCTCTCCTCCCCTCCACTGTTCCCACCCCCACCTCAGTGGAGATCTTGCGGGCAGTGCTGGGCCGTAGGCGGAGCCGTACAGGCGACTGCACCTCGTCAGAAGATGTTCCTGAGGCCTGGTCACTCTCCCCATCCGAGCCCATCTTCAGGTCCTCCTGCACCATCTCTGTGGGGCCACACACCACAGACACACCAGGCACACAGACACACTGTCACAGCCCTGGCTCCAGGACCCTGTGCTGGCAGCCCTGCCACCCCCCCTCAGCAGCCACAGTGGCATGCACCATTAGAACCCCGGTGTCCAAGTTCCTCTTAGTCCTCAATCCCCACTCCTCTCCCAGGGCTGGAGGAAAACCCAGGTGTTCTGGCTCCTGGCTATAAGCACCAGACACCACTCCCTGCCCCTCCTCCCAGGTGTCCTGGTTTCTTCCAACCTCCCCTTGCTCTAATCCCACCAGCCCTTACTCCCCACCCAGAGAATCCAGGCATCAAGGCTCCCAGCCCCACCTGCTCTGCCCCCCAGCCCCACTTGCTCTGCTCCCCAGCCCCACTTGCTCTGCCACACGGGG